ATATTCCACATAACCAATAAAATAGTACATTAATAATCTCATAATTTCAATCTAGGGTTTTGATAAAATACATAAAACACATCATAACACAATCAAACCAATATGTCGAGTTAAAAAGCTCTAGTACATTAATAATCTCATAATAGTATAATAAAATGATAATGGAAGTTACCGAGCAATTACATCGTAAACACCTCTTTATAGCAACCAACCCACCAAACCTCAACAAAATCCTTACGAAATTCGCCATCGAAAAAACCTAAAATCATGAAACAAAATTAAAAATGCAGAATACTAAAAAATGATTAAATAGACTGCAAATACATTTGAATGACAATACATTAATATCATCAAAAATAAACTTAACATGCAAAATCCATACGCTAATTTAAAAAAAGACTACGAACTATATTTTAATGTACTACCCAACACACTTAAATCGGCTATTATAAACAAATAAACCAACTATCGATCGGGATCAAAAACATGAACTCGACCACAGCGGACAATTATTCCGATTATTGCATAAACCAACTACGAAGCTCATATAAAACAACTCTGGTCCGATCTGCGTAAACCATCCTCTTCTAACTCTGTCAATCCTCTTCCAAACAAACATCATCCGCCAAAAATAACGATGTATATATGAAGACGTAATTTTGTTAAAAAACGTCCTACTTCATAGAATCAAGTATCAACACAACTCTTAAAATTTCTAACCACCGTAATCGACAATCCTAGACATTGAGCGAAAAATAAAAACGAATAACGCATTCATACCCGGTTAACAACGTCCAACAACGAACGCTCAATTCGATCCTATTTCAACGACGGTGCAGAAATCTTCAAAGACGATAAAGAACCGCTGGAACGCTGAAGAGAACCTTCGAAAAATATTGTACACGATTTGATATAACGGCCAATGATCTCACGTAATTTTATTCCGTGATTTTAGGCAACGTATCAGCAAATCTCAAATCACGTAGTAAAGAAAATAAATACCGTTTAAAAATAAACAAGGGGTATTATAGGAAATTATATAATATATTTTGCCAAGTTGGCAAAATTGGATCTATCTTAAAAAGGGGAAAAAAATTTGGATCTACCTCATTAGAAAATATGAACAAGGGGGTTATCCCTAATAAACCCATTAATTAAAGTTGTAATCCCTTTCAATTTTTGGTGTAGAAAACAAAATCTGCTGAATTGGTTTACTTTCTATCTGTGAGATGTCATTTTCTTTGCCACCTATCTTCCATTCTTTAAAGTAAAATGATTTATACTAAGAAACATTAGATATTATTGATTGATCATCACATTCTTATCTTATTTTATAATTGCACCATAAAATACATCGGATAGATCTGTATTTTATATATATATATATATATATATATATATATATATATATATATAAACAGCCTCAATTAATTTATCATTATGTATTCAAAAAAAAAATAGTTTCAAATTTGAGAAATAGCTCCAATTAATTAGGAGTCCAAGGATTTCAATTTCATTGACCCATAAAATTCTGTACACAAATTCAATTAACTTGTTACTATGTAAGTATTTAAAAAAAATTAAATTGAGAAAAATGAAAATGCAAAATCAAATGGAAAAAAAATATATATATATATATTTAAATCTCTAATCTATTTTACTCAATCC